CATGGCCCTTGTCGTGGCGCTGGTGGCCGTGCGCTTTGCCCAGCGCACCCGCGCCACCAAGAAGAACACCTTTGGGTGGGTGCGGGCCGAGGTGATGGGCGCCCTCGTCAATGCCGTCTTCCTCACCGCCCTCTGCTTCACCATCCTGCTGGAGGCCATTGAGCGCTTCACGGAGCCCCATGAGATCCAGCAGCCGCTGGTGGTCATCGGCGTTGGGGTGGCGGGACTCATCATCAACCTGCTGGGGCTCTGCCTCTTCAACCACCACGGTGTCGGGGGCCACGGCCATTCCCATGGCCACGGACACTCGCACAGCGGCAGGCAGCACCCCCGCAGCGGCACCAAGCCCGAACAGCCACCCGGGGATGGGGAAGCTGCACTGCACCGGGAGGAGACCAGCACCTTGGTGGAGAACTGCAGCAGCTCCAACGGAGTCAGCCAGGAGAAGCTAGGTAAGTCCTGTGGCACCTCTGTCTCATCGCAGCATAGAGGTGTCAGGCGAGAAGGAGAAGCCCCTTCCTTGAGGAAGGTGGTGGGCATCCTGCTCCCACCTGGTCTAAGCTTCATGGGCACCACCCATCCTTCCTCCTGGGAAAGAGCAAGAAACTTTCTTAGCAGTGCTCTCGGCTACACGGCCGTTGCACTTCTACCTCACACCTCTCCTTTGAGTGCAAAAAGGAGTGCCCCGAGTTGTGTGTCTGTCTTGCAGACAGGTCAGAATGTAGAAGAGTTATAGGGTAAAGCAGTTTCCCTTGGAAAAAGTTGGTGCTGGTAAGGAAGGCACATGACAAGTGTTTTTTGCCTAGCGACACAAGCTGTCACAAGACATTGCCCTAATGACTTCTGAACTGGCTGCACATCAAATAGAGTGCAGCTCAACACCTTGGTCCTGACAGCTGGATCTCTCTATTGGGTCGGTTATTCGCTACCTGAGAAGCTAATCTCAATCTGAATGTAACATAGTGAAGTATATTCCATCGCAGTAACATTGTACTTCTTCATGACATCCGTATTCATAGGATGAAGTCTTGGAAATACCAATCAGAACTGTGGAAGTCATGCAATAGGCACTGAATGTGGAGCTCACTGGTGTCAGAGTACCTGTGTGGTTTCTTTGAATTTGTTTTCTTTAGCTTTCTAAAGCATGCACCTTCCCACTCACTTGCACATAGAGATAAATTTAAAATCTTTCCTTCCCAATTGTGATCAAACTGTCTATTTTGTGGGAGGGAATTTCTTGGGTTATTTTTTTAATGGACCCAGAAGCCTGGATATTTTATTTTGAAGTCACTTGGTTGAAGCCAAGTAAAAGGTGCATAATTGCCGTTTCTCTAATTACATGGCATCCCTGTTACCAGAAGGGAAGGGGTTTCAGTCTTCAGAAGCCACATCTCTTCTTTATTTTCAGAGTGACTTCAGGAGACCAGTTTTAGCTTAAATTGAGCTTTAATTGAGCAGAGTGAACTTTGCTACAGTTTCGTTTTTTCTGTGGTCAGAGGTTCCAATACACATTTGAGAAACTTAGCAGTTTCTCTCTCTCTCTTTTTTCTCTCTTTCTCTCTCTTTCTTTCTCTCTCTCTCTGTTGTGTTTTGACTCCATGTTGGTTTTGAGAAGACAGGTTTTGCAGGAGGATAGGAAAGTTCCTCTGAATATAGTATACCATTTTCTTGACCACATAATAAGCTCTTAATGTTGGTTTAGTCCCAACAAAGCTATCCTAATAATTACTTTCAAACAATGTAACATTCCCTTAACCATTGATCTGACAGATATCTTGGCTTGTGAATTGTTCTTGCATGGTAAAACATGGCGAAAAGGTGTGCTTTTAGCCAAGTTCTGGACTAGTTCTAGACATAAAGATTAACTTATAGTGTGGATTAAAATGTATAGTGCTTTGAGCTAACCTGTCTGGAATTTCTCATGGATGTCCTCCTGGCAATAACAATTTGTTGTGGGTGTTTAGGTGGTAATAGGGCATAATTTTGGCTACAGTGAAACTTTGAAATAAGTTTGTATTTCCTTCTATGCCCTGTCATGATTATGTAATGGATGAAGTTATTCATAGTTTACCCATGTAAATCTTACAGGTAAAGATGCTTGAAAACTTGTGAGAAGGTGCAAGATGTGTAGGTAAAGACCAGGGAAATGACCAAGATTTGAAATTAGAAAGAGGGGCAGACCCTGGTTTCCTAAGGTGGGAGTGGAAAGCTAGTGATAGCCTTAGGGGCTATCTTTGTGCATGTACTTTGTGTAAAGCCATCAGTTTATAGTTAGATTTAAATGAGCATATTTCAAATGTACACATTTTAACTTTTTGCCATTAAAAAATCTCAAGTGCTTTCTGGAACCATTTTTCCTGTTACCTAGCCTTATAGATAGGTCTACTAACTTCCCAAATCTTTTCTCTGAGTACTTGGTACGCAGCAGAGTGTCAGAAAAATTCCTCTTTCCTTGCTCTCATCGTTGACCCTGAGGTCTGAACTCGGTAACCTAAGATATTTTCTTCTTATTTATTGTTTTCTCTGGAAAGTTACAGGTTCCGTATTCCATAACTCCTAGAAGTTGTGTGGAAAATGTAGCTGGAGCTTTAGGACAGAGGTGTGATGCATGAGGTTATGAGCCTGGGGCTTGGAACTAACCTGCTCAGCCACCTTCATAGGAGCCCTCCCCCTCTTCAAAGAGGAAAGAACTTGTAGACACTTTATGATTACAGAATCACAAGTCATGAGAGCAGAGTGGCAGAAGCTGCAGGTCATACTAACATGTTAATGTTTACAAAGCTCTGAACTGGATAACCACGGAAGCAGTCAGAACTCCTTGTTTCAGTTTGTCAGGCCAGTGGCCAGTGCCTATTACATTTCTTTAAGCCTGTAAGTTTTCTTTCTGAAGAAGAGCTTTTGAAGAAAAGCAGGAAGTTAATCATATAAATTACTTTTAATTTTGAACATTGGAAGATGTTTTTCTTTCAAAAAACATTCTTCTCTGTAAGGGTGTGTGCATTTATTCCTATATAGCTAGTAAAGTGTGATGGAGTGGTAATATCAGAGTGGTTTTGACAAAGGAGGGCACTAAAATGTTCATTTATGCATTGCATGGTCCATGACATATGGCTTTGGGCATCTACAGCTTTATGTCACTCAGCAGCTGTATGTCACTTAAAAAAAAAAAGAAAGTACTAAAACCGTGGTTTTTATGTATTCTGAAATATAACTAACATTAGTTCATAGCCTCTGAGAGCTTCAGTGATAACTTACACTGTCCTGTAGTCAATACTGCTGATAAATTCTGCATTTTAGACCTGAAAGTTTGGCTCATTGTTTCTCACAGTTCTGCTGGCTCCATGCACCATGTCAGAAAAACTTCCTTTTCCTTGAATTCAAAAGTCTTTTGGAAATGAACTACTAAACCTGAGAAGAAGTTACTATAAAGCTGTATCCATACAGCTTTTGAGCTCCTGGCCTCATAGATTTTAATATAGAATAGCAATGCAGTCCTATGGTTTAAGAGAGATTTTTAGCAATGTGATTAGCCTTCTGGCTTTTCAAAAGAGGGAACAAATGTAAGTTACTTAGCTACTTAACCAGCTTTTTGATACATGCTCTGTAATTCTGCATTTTGTTTAAGAAATGACTAGTGAGTGATCAAATGGTTAAACAGCTGGAAAACATGAAAACAGTTTTTCAGTAGAATAAATTAAAATGCGGTCATCTTCATACTTTGCCACTTTACATCTTTAAGCTCCAAGTAGCAACGATGGCCTTCTAGACTATTTAGATCACTTACTGGGACAACTGACTCTTTCTCAGCCAGAGAAAATGTTGCTAAGTGTTATGGGTAGAATTGCTTGCTTTTCAGTTTCGTACTCAATGTGGCAAGCTTAACGTTGGTTACTATTTTATGTGGAATTATACTAATGTATAGTATTATAGCATATGCCTAATCATTTTCCTGTTTTCTTCTCAGGTGATATGAAAGATGACATGACTGACCTACAAGTGAACGGGAACGCTGGTCATTATTCTCTGGATGTGGAGGAGGTTGAAGAAGACTCTAGTGCACAGCTTAACATGCGTGGAGTTTTTCTGCATGTTTTTGGAGATGCCTTAGGTTCAGTAATTGTGGTAGTGAATGCCTTGCTCTTTTATGGGTTGTGGAATCCATGCCCCAAAGATGGGCCCTGCTTTAATCCATGCGTCAATAATCATTGCATGGAAAATGCTACTTTATCCCAAATGCTTGGCAGAGCAAACAAGTCTGAGCAAGAGAGCATTACGGTGGCTGGTCCGTGCTGGTTGCTATATTTAGATCCCGTCCTTTGTTTGATTATGGTTTGTATACTCCTTTACACAACTTACCCGTTACTTAGGGAGTCAGCCCTTATACTTCTACAGACTGTTCCCAAACAAATAGATGTTCATTCTTTGAACTCAAAATTGCGTACCCTTGAAGGAGTTGAAGCAGTCCATGAATTACACATTTGGCAGCTGGCAGGCAGTAGGATCATTGGCACCGCTCACATAAAGTGTCCTGACCCTTCCACATACATGATGGTGGCAAAACGCATAAAGGAGATCTTTCATGACGAAGGGATTCACGCAACTACCATTCAGCCTGAGTTTGCCAGCGTTGGCTCTGAATCAGGGAGAGGGAAATGTGAGTTTCCTTGCAGGACTCAGTGTGCTTTGAAGCAGTGTTGCGGAACAGGAGAAGATAGTACTACAAAGAAGACAGAAAAATCTTCGTCGCTTAGTATTTCTTGTTCAGAAGTTGTCATTGAATTTCCGAAAACTAGGAGGACTAAGTCGGAGAGCATCCCTTCAGTTAAGCTTGAGGCAAACACCGATCAAAATGAGCAGTTTGAATCATCTTTGTAACTCCCTGAATGGTGCTACCTGAGTTTTGGTGACTTTGACAACAGCTATATTGCAAGAGGAAGAGACAGACGTTTGAGATGCAATTTTGCCAAGTAGTGTAATTGCTGAAGTCCTTGTTCTTGTCATACTGCTAAATCTAGAATGCTTGTTTTAAAGAACATAATGTCACTGTCATGATACAATGTGTTTGTGTTGACTTTGTACTGAGACAGACAGAAAGTGCACCAATGCTGTAACAACTTCAGAAAACCAGTTTCAACATTTCAGCGGAGACACTTTTTGCTGTGCTTCAAATTAAAATATTTTTTCCAGTGAAAAGGTATTTGAGGGATAAGCATGTAGGAACTCGATTTGTGTTACAGGTTTCTTGGACCTACTCTTTCCTTTAATATTTGATTTGTAGATATTTTAATATATTGTTTATTTAGAAGCCCTAAGGAAACCAAAGTTCATAGAACGTTTTTAAAGATATAACTACTTAAAACTGGAAACCACTTTGCAGTTTCACATATTTTTCTTAGACCTATATAATAATAAATGTGAAGGCTTTTCTAATGGATTTATCATATAGCATATTTTAAAGAGAACATCATGTGATTGTTAGAAACTGTCCCCACTTTTTCTGGTAAGGTAGCGAGGTAATTAAAATCAACTGCTTGTGAAAATATCAGATGTGAAAGGGGTTTTTTTTTCCATCAGAATGGAACTTCAAGCTACTGTATACTGCTCTGTGATCAAGACATGAGACTGACTGATAAAGTAACGCATACTTTAATATTTTATGGATTTTCTGGTGTTTCTCCTTATTTCCAAGTTGTGTCTGGTCATAAAAGTCTTTAAAGAATCCTTGACTCACAGTGCTATGAATGAGGAGCTGGAGCTTCATTTTTAACTGACGCTCAGTTTACTAAGATAAAATGATTAGTTATGTCAATAAGTGCTCTGTTGGGGAAAGTCTGTCAAGCACCGGCAGTATGATTCATGCTTGTAAGCATGGACAGTAGCCTCCATAACAAGTAATTCAGTGGTGCATTTTGCTGGTAGTTGAGTGTGTCTGTAAGCACTTTCAGTGACTGCAGTCCTGGTCCCTGCCGTGTCCTCAGGAGCCTTCCACTGACTTTTGAGGAAGCTGGGCAGGGAGTAGGATCTCATTCACTGTATTTCACACTTTGAGATGTTTATGTATCACATAATTTCACTTGCGAAATATCCGAATCTATGGTTTAAAATGTTAACTCAGTTAACTGACAACTGGCTCTACAGAAGCTGTTACAGTATGCTGCCAACTTACACCTTAACAAAGGAGAAACTGGTCTAGGTACTCTGAATTTGGCAGAGACTAGATGAGGGTTGAAGATGAAGCATACGAGAAATCTAATGTAAAACCCTGACCCCTTTGATCTACCCTCAAGTTATGTATGGGAAATAATGTCTTGTGATTTAATTGACTGCTCCTATGCTCAAAACTGGAAAGCAGCTCAGATCTTCCATTGTTTGCTCTATGACTCTGGACCTGATAAACACTCTGCCTCAGTTTCCCTGTCTTGAAATGGGGATAATACCTACCTCACAGGGGTGTTGTGAGGCTTAACTCTTGTGTGAAGAGCTCTGAGATGTGTTACTGGAAGGCAGTGGAAGGAGTATAAGATACTAAATTACATGGTATTTACTTCTTCTACAAATGTATTGCAATACCTAGGCACAACAGAGGGAACTGAGGATAGCTTTGGCCTTATGAAATTCTTTGATGCTGTGGTTTTCAGGTTTTTAACAGTATTTAAATGTAGATTTTTTTAAAAAGAATGTTTTGTTAGTGAAGGGAATGTAGCTTTGCCTCCGGATACAGAACACCTCGCTAGTTTGCATTTCTAATATGTGTCTCGTATGATAATTGCTCCTAAGTAGTTCAAAAGAGTCTGCTGCTTGTTGGACCTGGATTGGCCCAGGTCGTGTCAGTGGTCTTACCCAAATTCTCAGCAGAGCATTGCAGTCAACTCTCGATTATCCATGGGTGGATTACCAGTGTTGTGTTTTAACCGTGCAGTCTACAGGGCCAGACTAGCTCTGTATCATATGCCAGTGCGTTGGCCAAATGCTGTGTGCCAAAGCATTGGAAAAGTAGAGGAGCTCCGTCTGGTTCCGGGCGAGCTCCCTCTCACAGGGTTTGTTAGCTTGGGTGCAGCGCGGCACCCTGCAGTTATTTTGCCTCTTGGCTGCTCAGATGCGTCCACAGGAAGCTGCGGTGCATGGATGGGTCGGTCCAGCTTTGCGCTAGCTTGGGGATGTTGGTGCTTCACAGCCATCAGCATCGTTCACCTTTTTCTGTGTTTATGCTTGTTGTATAGTCTCATAAACTAACTTAAATATGTTAATATAGTATTTATATATGTTTTTGTTTTGTCTGAATTATCTTAACTCTTTTTTTCTGTTACCTGTATATGATCTAGAGTTGACTGTTAAATGAGATCTTGTATGAGACTACATTTGCAGATATGCTACCACTGCTAGTATATTATAAAGTATTAACCAAGTAAATTTTGAAATGAACAAAGTACTGGGTTTTTTTTGGAAATGTGTATCCTTGCTTTTTATGGTAAATTTTCACATTATTTTGCTCACTAGTTTAAAATTGGTCTCAGTCAGTACGAATTATTGAGGTCCTGCTGTATATCACTAATGCGCCATATAACTACTGCTCTTTATTTAAAAAAAAACAACAATACAAGACAAACCGTAGTAGCACTGAGAAGCCTGACTTCTCTCCTCTTGCTCTTATAAAAAGAGAGCAACTATTAAGTCTTGACAGTTGCCACCATTGGTTAACAGTCTCAGTGAATGCATCTGAATAGATGGAGTTGTAGTCACTAATTCCACGGTAACTATTTAATCTTTTTTTTTTTTTTTTTTTTGGTGCCAGAAGTCATATTTTTCTATTTCTGTGTCCATTGCAGGCAATGGCTAGCTTAAAAGACAAAAAGCTCTCCCCCACACTATTTTTATTATCAGGACAGGATGCAGATGTGATGATGATGATGGGGGCAGAAGGGGGAGTTGCGTGGCCTCTCTGTCATGCGCTGTGTCGCATGTGCAGCACCAGCTGGTGTTAGGGAGGTCCTTTAGTCTCTTTAGCCCTCGATGGTAAATTCCCTGAAATCATACAGTCAGGTCAAGGTGGTGGCCGTGCAGCAGCAGGAACACAATTTTTGTGTTTGTTCTGGCTGTATGAGACCCAACTGTAGCCTGCTAGCTTGTGATATAGCTTGATTTTTTTTTAACCTGGTTTACCTGTGGTTGCACAGGCTTGGTTTGTTCTGAAGATCACCGTTCCAGAATACTGGGAGCATTCAAAAACTCTGTGCAGTCTCTTTTTTTTCTTTTTTTCCACAAAGCATGAAACTAGTGAATCTCATGTAAGTGAACACTGCAGTGGTGGGGAGCTAATTGTATTGTGTATCACATTCCTGAATTTTTAAAATAAAAAATATGGAACACTGATTTTAAGGAAAAATAAGTTTGTATTTCAGTGTCTAGATTGTTTATGCTTCTGATTAAATGTGTCAGAGATATACCAAACATCATTGCGTGAAATATTTTACACTTAGTACATGTCTCATCCAGAAACATGCTATTTTAGGATCACTTCTTGGATTATATCTGCAACTTAGGGTGCAGTGCAGAACTAACTCACTCAGTGGGCTGGCCACCATACTGTGAAGATTTAGTTTTTAACAGAGTAAATTGCTTCGGTGGAACCCCTTACAATTTTAGCTCGATTGCTTTCAACATCGACTCCAGGCTTTTGGCAATATCTGTTATTGCTGTGTCATGGTATCTGGTATGGACGTACACGTAGTTACGTAAAAGACAAAACTAGCCCCAACTTGTGACTCCCCAAAAGTCACGGCAAGGGCTCAGTTCTGTAAATTTCTGTATTCGTGAATAGTTTCATCAGGCTGACGAGTAGGTACTTGCATGCAAGGAATTACTTGCGGGAGTGAGTCCGAAGCTTCTGCCAGTACAGCCTGGCTTTTGAAGAATGACTGAAGGTACCTAGATTTTATGGGTGTATTAAAATCAGGAGTACTGTGGTGTTTCTAAATTTTCTGCAGAAATATTATCAGTTTGTTACTATCTTAATTCCAGGATTTAGTACTTTTCCCTGTTCTCTAAAAGAAAGAAAAAGTAGCCCACTGAGTGTCTTAAAACTTGTTAACAAGTTTAGCTAAACTGGCATGGATGTTTGCTTCTGAACTTGGGCCATGTGAGTTTATTAAACACTGCCTAGTGGAGTTTGGGGAGGAGGGATAAAGATTCTTGCCATTCTCCTTCCCCTGCCCCCTGCTTTGACTGCACTTTCTAATCTCTTCAGCTA